ATACAAACTGGCGGCCACTCAGGGGGCTGCATGCGTCAAGGCTTCCCTTGCGGTTTTGGCATCAGGTCGAGGTGAGAACGTTCTAATGAGTGTTCTAAATGGGTTATTGGGGTGGTCCCCGTTCGGAAGGCGAATGGATTCCCTTCGTGGAATCCCTCGGTAGGATAAAAGTAGGAAGGTCGAACAATGAAGAAAAAACACAACACATTTAAAGTTCTGATACTACATACATGCCAGACCAACCCCAACAAATTATGTGCTACGTACCTATCCTGTTCATGACAGTTAGTATAGTGAAATCATAAGAAATATATGAACAGTAAAAAAATTCAGTACATGGAAAATGTTTCATACCATGTTCACTGCTCTTCTCATTTTTGAATATTAATGACTAGGAGGTCTCTTGAGCTCAAAACTAGTTCACTTAATGTTTCATCCAGCAATATTAAAATGAGAAATATTAGCTCTTTTTGTGGTGGATGAAGTTAGATAAATTATAAAATGTTATGGGTTAAAGATAAAGCCACAATCCCCAAAATTTCTGAGCAGCAATAATAGAGAAACAATGACAGAAATACAGTGAGGGAAAAAAGTATTTGATCCCCTGCTGATTTTAAACATTTGCCCACTGACAAAGAAATGATCAGTCTATAATTTTAATGGTAGGTGTATTTTAACAGTGAGAGACTGAATAACAAACAAAAAAGCCAGAAAAACGCATGTCAAAAAAGTTATAAATTGAGTGAAATAAGTATTTGATCCCCTATCAATCAGCAAGATTTCTAGCTCCCAGGTGTCTTTTATACAGGTAACGAGCTGAGATTAGGAGCAATCTCTTAAAGGGAGTGCTCCTAATCTCAGCTCATTACCTGTATAAAAGCCACCTGTCCAGAGAAGCAATCAATCAGATTCCAAACTCTCCACCATGGCCAAGACCAAAGAGCTGTCCAAGGATGTCAAGGACAAGATTGTAGACCTACAAAAGGCTGGAATGTACTACAAGACCATCGCCAAGCAGCTTCGTGAGAAGGTGGCAACAGTTGGTGCGATTATTCGCACATGGAAGAAACAAAAAATAACTGTCAGTCTTCCACGGTGTGGTGCTCCATGCAAGATCTCACCTCGTGGAGTTTCAATGATCGTTAAAACAGTGAAGAATCAGCCCAGAATTACATGGGAAGATCTTGTTAATGATCTCAAGGCATCTGGGACCATAGTTACAACAATGAAAACAATTGGCAACACACTACGCCATGAAGGACTGAAATCCTGCAGCGCCCACAAGGTCCCCCAGCCCAAAAAAAGCACATGTACATGCCTGTCTGAAGTTTGCCAATGAACATCTGAATGATTCAGAGGAGAACTGGGTGAAAGCATTGTGGTCAGATGAGACCAAAATCGAGCTCTTTAGCATCAACTCAAATCGCCGTGTTTGGAGGAGAAATACTGCTTATGACCCAAGAACACCATCCACACCGTCAAACATGGAGGTGGAAACATTATGCTTTGGGGTGTTTTTCTGCTAAGGGGACAGGACAACTGCACCGCTCCAAAGGGACAGTGGACAAGGCCAAATCTTGGGTAGGAACCTCCTTCCCTCAGCTAGGGCATTGAAAATGGGTTGTGGATGAGTATTGCAGCATGACAATGACCCAAAACACACATCCAAGGCAACAAAGAAGTGACTCAAGAAAAAGCACATTAAGGTTCTGGAGTGGCCTAGCCAGTCTCCAGACCTTAATCCCATAGAAAATCTGTTTGGGGGCTGAAGGTTTGAGTTGCCAAACGTCAATCTCGAAACCTTAAAGACTTGGAGAGGATCTGCAAAGAGGAGTGGGACAAAATCCCTCCTGAGATGTGTGCAACCCTGGTGGCCAACTACAAGAAACGTCTGACCTCTGTGATTGCCAACAAGGATTTTGCCACCAAGTACTAAGTCGAAGGGGTCAAACACTTATTTCACTCATTGACATGCAAATCAATTCATAACTTTTTTGACAAATGTGTTTTTCTTGATTTTATTTTGTTATTCTGTATCTTACTGTTAAAATACACCTACCATTAAAATTATAGACTGATCATTTCTTTGTCAGTGAGCAAACATTCAAAATAAGCAGGAAATCAAATACTTTTTTCCCTCACTGTATATGTGAGTTATGATCTAATGTTTGATGTAAGTGACTTTGACCATGGTGTGACTGCTGGCCAGGGTGGCTCTAGCATTTCAGAGATAGGTGCCCCACGGCATACTCATGTTTCATAGCCTCAAGTGTTTACCGAGAATGGAGCAATAAATAAAACGCATCCACTGCCATGGTTTGTTTCAGGATCTCAGGTAAGAGCCTCTGTGCATGGGATATCTGTCGGTCTTTTGGAATCGATGAGACTATGTAGATATATACCAAGCTCTCTATTTATATACAGGAAAAGCAAACCAGAAGAACTGTAGAACTATGTACAATGAGATATGTACTATCTGGAATTATCTCACTAGAGCAAGTTTCATAGCTGAATAGCAAGTTTGCCTTCAGCAGTAGAAAATGGAACACAGGTTTAAGTCTCATCAAAGACAGCTTGAGCGTGATGTCCTCTACACTTCTTTTTCAGAGGGCTTGTATAGTGGTGGATCCAGAGCTCAAATTCAGGAGAGACACAGATGAAATATATTGTGGTGCATAGGCACTGCTGTGGAGGGTAATATGCAGCATCACAACACTGGGTTACCTACTTTTAAAAATGATATGCTATCACGGGACTAATTCCATTTCATAAGCTGCCATACTGTCTCAAAGGCGGCATAGACCCAGGGCCGTCTTTAATACTGATTGGACCAGAATTTACTTGGGCCCCCTGGATCCCTCCCTCTCACTCTGTAGCATGCAATCACGCCCTCCACCCCAACACACACACACACACACAAAAACCACACACCTCGTAGACCAATAAACTTCAATAATGTAAACATAAAGAACTGGTTCACAAATAAGTCCTTAGCCTGACCTACTTGCCACCTGTAGCTTCTTTTAACCTCTGTCTCATAGTATATTTTTATTAACAGTTATAGGTTGTTGGAAGAACAAGCATGTTAATATCTAACAATTAAATAAACAACATTAAACCTTACTATTTGTAGAATGCAAAAATTAAACATAAAAAAATAAAGTGCACATACCCCAATGCAATATGGAAAATAGGGAATCAGGTACTAGTGTCACATGGTAAACTATTACTATAATTCCTGTTCGGCACCAGCTGCTGCAGTAGCAGACTATTATGAAAGAATAGATTGACAACCATTAACGTAAAGTGCAGGTAACTTTTGCATAAAAAAATAAATAAATATTTTTTTAAACATCGAGTCTACGTGCTTTCTGAGCAGCAAAGGTCTTTGTAATATTGGTGAAGTCAAAACCACAAAGTATATTGGATTCAGCAGACATTAAAGACAGTTTGGTGCACTGGCTTTGGCTCATGGTTGTGCGTTGTAAGTTTTTTTTAGCAATTTCATTTTTGAAAAAGATTGTTCACCTGAACTGCTAGTGATCATTAGCGTAAGGTAATTTTTTAAAGCAATTTCTGTGTTGGGAAAGGTATCTCTTACATCCTTGTCATAAATTGTACTGTTCACGAATAGTGATGTCGCGAAACGTCCGCGAACTTGCCGCGAACGGTTTGCGGCGAACTCCGGTCAGCTGACACATCCCTGCCAATCTCCGGAAGACCCTCCCTCCCAAACCCTCCTACTTCCTGGACAGCATCCATGTCCAGGAACGCCAACTGCAGCATTTAGGTTCAGCTGAACAGACTGCACAGTTTTGCTGCTGCTGTTGAAGCACTGCAAAACAGTGTTCCAGAATTCTGTAAAAATCCCTGTCTCGAGTTTGCTCATCTGATCAAATGGTCCTTTTCCAATGTTACGGCACTCAGACTTTTCTTCACTGTCAGTTGAAAATTCAAACAGTATCCATAATATATCTTCATACCCATGGACTAATGCCTGACATGCATCTGCACGACATGACCAACGTGTGTACAAAATTAAAAACCTTACAGCATCCTTTCCGACAAAGTTCAATGAATGTCCAAAGCATTTTGAAGATATACTTAGCATATTTATTCAGGTTAACAATTCTTGCTTGCATATCTTTGTAGTGGCCAGACATCTTGCCTGCATTGTCGTAACTTTGTCCACGGCACTCTTGTATGGTGAGTCCAACACTATTAAGAAATGCTGGGAGTACATCTGCCATTTCTTCTCCTTTATGCCCTGTAGAGGATACAAAAGTTACAAAATGCTCCACAGGTTCCTTCTAAGTATCGAAAAATCACTGTGAGTTGGTCAGTATGAGAAGAATTTTCATCTGGATCCATAGAAACCAAGTAGTACTTTGCCATTTTAATATGGTTGATGACAACTTCTAAGATCTTATCCCCAGTAATTTGTTTGAGTTCCTCACGGACATTTGCTGACAAATAACTTGTACATACTTTGCCTTTGTTCACCTTTGTTTGGATGTGTTGTGCTAGAAAAGCATCATACTCTGACAGTAATTCCAAAATACCGAGATAGTTGCCATTGTGTGGGGATCCAATAGTCTGATCATTACCTCTAAAAGCCAATCCTCTCTCTGTTGCATTTTATAGTCAACATGACCTTCCAGTTTTGAAAATTTGGCTGTATCAATCACAGCGCGAATATGGTTTTGAGACTGCTCATGGGATGAAATTCGTTCACTGGCATGTTTCTAGTCACTGAAGCCATCATTGGAAAATGCATCTGTTGATGAACTAAATAATTTGCAGTCAAAACAGTACATTTGGCCTCTGTTATTTGAGTAACAAAGCTACTTCCGTTCAACTTTTGTCTCCGTTGGGACAGTAACGAAAAAAAATATCTACAGCACAGCACAACGTCCATCTTTAAATGATTTTGGAAATCCTTAATTGCGCAGTTGTTCCAGAGATTTTCTCACTGACAAATTTCCATGTTTGGACCAATACTACTGCATCTCCAGAGTAGATGAGTTGGGCCACAAACCAATGTCAGTCATGAAACCTGACTTTTCCACGGATTCTGGCATTATATCAACTGCTTCAGCAGTAGGGTCTTGTATTCCAACAGTATGGAAGCTAGGTTTCTCAACTTCCACGGGAACTGGAGTGGTTTCTAGTGGCATTGGCTGATCAAAAGACTCCACTGTGTCCGCTTCAGAGCCATATTCAGATACACCATGAGGAGGAATCTCTCCCTGAGAAGTTGTACTAACATGTTCTTGAGAAGATCCACACACAGCAGGCTGTGCAGAAGATCAGTATTTCTAAATCTACATGGCTCACTTCTTATGTTTAAAAAAACAAATATTTTTATTTTGCAGATTACTTTATATATATATATATATTTTATAAATGCACAGTTTGTATACTAAACCCCTCACTGTACTAACCCCCCATTCCCTGCCTCTCCAACGTCCCCTCTCTCCCTCCCTTCCTGCCCCCTTCTCCAATACCCCATCTCCCTTTAAACAAGTGATAGCTCCCCTTATTCCTTATTAATTAAATACTTACAGTTTTGAAGACCAGCAGGCTCTGGACTCAGGATTCAATCGCCGCTTTGCTGTTTGTTCTGGGGGGAGAGTCAGGAGGCTGATGATGGCCGCAGCCCTGCGCAGCCTGTGACCCCAGGCTCACCCTAGCATTGCCGTAACTCCGCCTCTGCGCACGTGGTAGTGAAGGATCGGATGAATGAGGATCGCTATGGCCTGCCAAAATAAATAGATAATAGGTAATAGCAGCACAAATCTATTATCTATTTATTTAACAAATTGTTGTGGCCAGCGGCCAGCCTTAGGCCCCCAGAAGCAATACAACTGGGCCCGGGCTGGCCCCTCGTTAAAGACGGCCCTGCATAGACCCAGAAAATCACTTTGTCAAATTTCCAAGTTTGAAATGGGCATTTAAAATATTTGGCCCTATGACATCTCCCAAAAAACCTGGAAAACTGGTACATCATAGTTACATAGATGAAAAGAGACATGCATCTGTCAAGTTCAACTTTTATCACATCTGTTTTTGCTCTTAAGTCAGAAGAAGGCAAAAAAAAAAAACAGCTTGAAGCGCTTCCAATTTTGCAAATTGTTTAAACATCTGTATGGACTCTGATAAAACCACCTCTTTAGGCAGAGAATTCCACATCCTTATTGTTTTTACTGTAAAAAAAACCTTTCCTTTGCCTTAGACTAAATCTCCTTTCTTCCAGTCTAAATGCATGACCTTGTGTCCTATGTACGATTCTGTTTATGAATAGATTTCCAGACAATGATTTGTATTGGCCCTGAATATATTTGTATAAAGCTATCATATCCCCTCTGAGGAGCCATTTTTCCAAACGGAAGAGATTTAAATTTGTTAACCTTTCTTCATATCTAAAATGGTTAATTTGTCACCTCTGCACTTTTTCTAGTGCCATAACATCCTTCTTTAGAAGAGGTGTCCAAAATTGCTCCAGTATATTCAAGATGTGGTCTTACCAGTGATTTATACAAAGGCAAAATTATATTTTAACCCCAAGAATTAATGCCCTTATTTATACATGACTAACTCTAGCAACTGCCGATTGACATTGCACATTGTTGCCTAGTTTGTTGTCTATAGTAACAGCAAAGTAGTCCAGGCACTGATGGTCTTCATACATCAGCAGATTTATTTAAAAAACAGGACAGATACAGCAACGTCTCGATTCCTTTAGGGATCGAAACGTTGCTGTATCTGTCCTATTTTTCCAATAAATCTGCTGATTTATTTAAAAAACAGGACAGATACAGCAACGTCTCGATTCCTTTAGGGATCGAAACGTTGCTGTATCTGTCCTATTGTTCCAATAAATCTGCCGATGTATGAAGACCATCAGTGCCTGGACCACTTTGCTGTTACTATATGGGTTAGGGGTTTGCCAGCCCTAAGTACAGTGCACCGAGCTCTACAGGTGATGAGAGTGGAGATCTCTCCCTTTTTTTTGCTATAGTTTGTTGTATTTAACAATTCTCAAATCCTTCTTGTATGTTATTATCCCTAATCCACTACCATTTAGGGTGTAAGTTGCTTGTGCATTTTTTATCAGAGGTGCATATCTTTGCATTTTTCTACATTAAATTTCATCTGCCATCTGAGTGCCCAGTCCCCCAATCTATGTAAATCCCTCTGCATCAAAGCAATATCCTGCTCTTGTTGCATTACTTTACAGAGTTTTGTTCCATCTGCCAACTCTGAAATGTGGTTTTCAATGCCTATTTCAAGATCATTTATAAATATGTTAAATAGAAGCGGTCCCAGAACAGAACCCTGAGGGACACCACTTACCACTTTTGTCCAGTTTAAACATTTACCATTAATGACAACTCTCTGCACGCTATCTTTAAGCCAATATGCTAGCAAAGAACAAGAATTTTCACCTAGACCAATTAAGCCAAGGCGTTGCCAAGGTTCCTCGCAATAGGTTATTCTAAGGAAGCATATAAAATGCCTTGGCAAAATCCAAGTAGATCACACCATTGGCGGATCCAGGGGGGGGACAACGGGTTAATTGCCCCCCCGAGATTCCCCCCTTCCGGCTAACGCAGGGCTGGCATTGCCCAAGTGCTAGCCCTGCAATGTGCCTGCGGACCGGGGGGGAGATCAGAGCTCTCCCTCCCCGGTCCACAGTCACCGTGCTGACAGCCGGCGGCGGAGGGAGTGAGTGAGATAGAGGACCCGGAGCTCAGTCTGCAGCTCCTCCGGGTCCTCCTCGCTCGAGATTTGGAGCGTTGCCGCGGTTACCATGGCAATGCTCCAAATCTCGCGAGAGTGAACTCTAGCCCGGGAGCGCGGGCTAGAGTTCACTCTGACCACCTGACCACCAATGAATCCCCACTGGGACCACCAGGGAAATGTCCCCCCTCCTCCTCAATAAAGGTAAGAAGGGAGGGGGGACACAGAATATTTATTTTATTAAAAAAATAATAATAATTTATTATTAAAAAGCCTCCTCCCCCCCATACACACACTGCCCCCCCATACACACACTTCCCCCCCATTACACACACACACACTACCCCCCATACACACACTGTCCCCACACACACTGTCCCCATACACACACTGCTCCCACAAACACTGTCCCTATACACACACTGCCCCCCATACACACACACACTATTCCTTAAGGCTACATACACTGCCCCCTCATACACACACTTCACAAACACTGTCCCCTTACACACACTGTCCCCATACACACACTGCCCCACATACACACACTACCCCACAAACACTGTCCCCATACACACACTGCCCCCCATACACACACTGTCCCCATACATACACTGCCCCCATACACACACTGCACGCCCACAAACACTGTCCCCATACACACACTGCCCCACAAACACTGTCCCCATACACACACTGCCCCACAAACACTGTCCCCATACACACACTGCACACCCACAAACACTGTCCCCATACACTCACTGCTCCACAAACACTGTACCCATACACACACTGCACCACAAACACTGTCCCCATACACACACTGCTCCCCATACACTGTCCCCATACACACACTGCACACCCACACTGTCCCCATACACACAATGCCCCACAAACACTGTCCCCATACACAAACTGCACACCCATACACACACTGCCCCACAAACACTGTCCCCATACACACACTGCCCCACAAACACATACAGTGCCCCCATACATACACTGCCCCCTAACACACACACTACAACCCTGACATACACTGCCGCACTCACACACTTCACCCTTAACACACACCACTGCTCCTATACCCTATATCCCAGCAGACCCCAGGTAAGTTGTCAAACTGTTCTTAAACGGTATGACTACTTACTCTGGGGTGGAATCCTGGCACTACTGACACCATAATTACTACACTGAGCTGTAGTGGTTATTGTGCCTGGATTATTTATTTAAATAATCTACAAGTGCCCCTCCCGAGATCAGGCTCTGGATCCGCTACTGGATCACACCCACTGCAACACCCTGATCTATACTTCTGCTTACTTCTTCATAGAATACAATTAAGCTAGTTTTACATGATCTATGTTTCATAAAACCATGATGATTATTGCTAATAACAATGTTCTTCTCAATGAATTCCTGAATATTATCCCTTAATAACTTTTCAAGTACTTTTCCTGCCTTAGAAGTTAAGAGCATAGGTTTATAATTTCCAGGCAAAGATCTTGAACCATTTTTGAATATAGGAACCACATCTGCCTTCCTCCAATCCTCCGGTACACTTCCTGAAAGAAAAGAGTCTTAAATAAAGAGGTTCACTAATTTTTTTGTGTGGAATACTACCAGGTCTTCAAAATCAGAATTAAGTTTGAGTGATTAGCCTTTACTGTTCTTTTCACAAGTCTGTGTGTGTAATACATATTTCAAAAAGGTGTTGGGATTGCGTAGTGAGGCATATCTACAGTTTGGGGAAGGGTTGCCAAAATACTTCGCTGACCCAGTTGCCAAGTAACTGTCACGGTAGTTTACCCCAACTCGCAAGATTTAGTCCAACAATTGACAATATAGAGGTCTTACCGGACCTTAGAATGGCCGGACTCGACGTAGAGCAGAGAAATACAGAGTAAGGAACGATCCGAGGTCAAGGGTACAAAGAGACAGCGAAAACAAGAACTAGCCATGGTCTGGTACACTGTAATCAGTAAGCTGGCAAACAAGACAAAACAGGGATAAAGATATAAACGGAATCAGATACAAAGCCAAGGTCAAGTACGAAAAATCACAACTGAACAAAACAAGCGCTAAAGGGAACTGAAACAGAAACCACGACAGGGCAGGGAGTTAAGGGAGAGGTAAGTATAAATACCCTAACATTTAATTTGATTGGCCCCTGTCATATCCACGCCCCCAAAATGTGAGTGTATGGGGAATGTGCGATCACAGGGGCCAATGGGAGACCGTTTTAGTTTTCGGCTCCCACTGTCCCTTTAAGAGCGTGCCCGAGACGCGCGGCGCGCTCTTAGAGCTGGGCGGGACACGTGACCTCATCCGAGCCCCGAGCGAGCCGCGTGCGGTGGGAATAAAGGACCTCGGCTGGCCCCCGGATAAGGTAAGTACCGCTACAGTAACAAAGGTAAGACAAACTTTCTTCAAACATCCCATCTTCCCGAGTCCAGACCTTTCACAGGTGGAACCAGAGTTTAATTTCAGGAGGGTCATTGACAAATTTATGGTTATAGAGGCAAAATGTATAAATCCCATATGCTGTGCCAAT